TAACTATTGTAGTTTAGAAGAAATTATCTTATATATTTTGTCATACATTAACATATAGCTATCAATATCTTGGATAAACATAAGCATTATAAGTAATATTCAATTTTTTTTTTCAAAATTCATGCCTTGGCGAAATTTTCGAGGTACAGTGTACTCAGATAACTGCGCTCTTTACAACCCTATAGCACACACGTATCACTTTCATGCACATCAAAAGAAATATCGTCACGCATACACACCCACCATTGTTCACTTAAGCACTTAGTAACTGCTTGAGTAGTTATCTCTACATATGTTTATCAAAGTATAAATGGCTGCTTAGATATTATCGAACTTACCCTATCACCTTTCTCGCCAGTCATTCCTGGATCTCCACGTTCGCCCTTCTGACCCTGCTGACCGCGTTCGCCCAACGCTCCGGCATCACCTTTATCTCCAGGCGGTCCCTTGGGTCCTGGCGAAGAGCTGCGCATCGGACGCATTGAATTGCCCATTAACGATTCCTGTGTATTTATGTTTGGGATTTGTTTTTTTTTTTTTGTTCATTTACATTTCAAAGCCACGCATGTTATGAATGTGTGTGTGTGTGTGTTGGAAAGTAGAAAAATTGGAAAAATATGTTAGAAAAGTTTGCCGAATAGCAGGTGCAGGGTAAGGAAAGTTAAAAAAGATTGGAATGTAACCACATATGTACATATGTATACATACATATATTCAAAGCTAGTGCTTTGGTTTTTTTTTTAAACTTATGCACTAATACACACGCATGAATCCTGTCAACTGCCTACGCTTCCCGAATTAATTTCTTTATTTTTACGACTTTTCTTCGTTTTATTTTTCTACCCTCTTCGAATTTCGCCTGCTGCAATTTTCTTTGCTTTTCAGCTTATCTCTTTGGGTTCGGGTGCTGTTATTAGTACCTTTTGATTACCTTTTCTTTTTTGCTTGGCTTGTTTGCCAGGTATCCTTTTGGATATGTGATAAGCACGTTTTGATTAATGATGCCACATTCACAAGAAAATCCCATTTTACTATTACGGCACGTTTTTATTATTACTATAAATGTTGTTGTTGTTGTTGTCATCTTTATCGCTTTAGCAACCTCTCAGAGCTAATGTGTATAACCCTTATTTTAACTTTTGTTTGCCTGCCAAACTTACAAACTACACCAATACACCTACGGTTCAATGCGCATAGACGAACACATACATGCATACATTCATATGGTATATATACATATGTATGTATTCTAACTCGATTAGCATTGTGTGCGCCTGTTGACAAGGGACTGCCGCTTAATTTTAAGCTACATACATAGTTCCTGATATCAAATTGTGTTGAAAGATTTAGGTATGTACTTTTTGGTTGAACTTTTTATTTTTCTATTTTTGGAAAACAATCAGGTATTTTTAGTTGTAAAAAACATACCAATCCCTATGGAAATTTGTGTGAGATCAAATCTAATCTAAGCCCTTGTTTGTTGACTTTTCATGTTTGCCATTTTAGTTTGATTTCTCCTAATTCTAGGGCACACTAACGAGCGTATGAATGTCTGTGTTACTGCAGGCATATAGGTACATACTTTTTGCAGGACTGTGTGTGGTAACGACGAAAAAGGCTTAGTGCAAGTATTTTACAACGCTTTTATCAACTTGCAATGTTGTGACTCCAGAGACTTTCAATGTTGTGTGTCCGACACCATAAAACCTTTGCTTTGCAAAGTTCCTATAAAAAAGTCTAGTGCATAGGGCGACATCTGTAGTGAATAGGGCGAAGTAGATGACATCTAGATGTCGCCCTATGCTCTACGTACGCTACAGCGGAAATGGACGACACGCCATTTCTTTAAATGAAATTAATTGGTGCTCGCACCTATGTACATAAATACGTATATGCATGTGTGTGCACCAATTTATTAAAATCGTTGAATTATTTTAATATCTATTGCAAAATTTTATATAGACAAGACTAAGAAGTAGAAAATAAATAATATAAAAAAAAAAATTTTTAACAACGCTTTAATAAAAGGACTAAAAAGTAGAAAATAATATTTCTCAGTCCCATCGAATTTGTTTTGATAACTTTTGATTTTGAAATTTTAGCAAAAGTCATTATAAACCATTTATGATTTTGATTGCGTGGGTCGCATGTAAAAGACCTGAACTGACAAGAAGGGTAATATGTGTATGAATGTGGATATATGAATAACGACCGCTTAAAATCGATCTCAAATTTGTACATTCTCTGTAGAAATTTTAGGTCTATGTTATGTAGTTTGACTATTGTCAATTATGTAAATCGAATAGCTCAAAATGCTGGTTCCAAAATGACGCATAGATTTAAAAAAAAAAATTTGTATAATTTTTATAAAATTTGATATTCAAAGTTTGAGTCGCTGATTGCAAAATTTAGTTCTTAAAAGCCTGAGCATTTTATTAAAAACCCGTCCGCCATATTACAGCCGCCATTTTGAATTTGTAAATATATTTGGTTTGTCGATTAAGCATAGAGGCTGTTAAGCGTTTTTTTCCAAATAGAAAACGTGAATGACTTGCTCTAGAAAAATGGTTCCACTTTCCAAAAATTTCGTTTTTTTCCATGAGTGCAAAAAAAGTTTAATTTTGTGGGACGCTGTTAAATTAGGTTAGGTAAGGTGGCAGCCCTGTGTAACCGGAGCTCACTTAGACAATGTAAGATTGTCCTCTGTGATACCACAATTTGGAACAGCCCCCTGAACTTTAACGTTAAAATGCTCTGCGCCGATTATGTATTTACGAATACGGCTGATCTCAATGTCCCAGAGTTCCTCGGGGCTATTTAGAAAGTGAGAGTCAAAGTACTTCAACCTTAGCCTCGTGATTCTACCTCGTCTTCTTCCAGGCAACTGCGACGTAAGGGGTCCGGAAGAATGTTCAGCCACACTGCGTGAATACCGATAGGACAGTGATCCGTTAAAACCCCCACCAGAAGTGAGACCTGTGGCTTAGTGAGTGTGAGGAGTGCCCCCGACTACCCACGGTTAACCCTCCAAGGCCAAAAGGACCTTGCGATCGCGCATGTCGTGGTATTCGCCCAGCTCTCACTGAGCTGACATGAGGCTCACCTGTCCAGGAGTGTACCGCAAGTGATCAGTGGCACCCCCAGCCGCTCTTTATCCGGTGATAACGTTTCACAGGTGGGACGGTGTTATAGTTCTCTCTTTTTTAATGGCGTAAGGCAGGTTTAGGCGAACTCTGCGCTCATTGATAGTCAACTATTTTTCATTATCAGTATATAGCGGGGCAGAGGATGATGAGGAAGCTAATGCTTTGGCTTAGTCCGATGCAACTTATCCGCCCGTTATTATGCCAAATATTGTCTAAATCTAGGAAACTGACGGTTTTCTAATACACTGCAAGGACTACAATATATAATTTTTAACATTCGCATAGGAAGAAAGTAGTTCGATTATTTGCGGGAGTCTCTGCAGGAAACTGCTTGACTCCATCGCAGCAGAGAGACATCTCTCCTTAAGAGAAAGTAATATTTTTCCCTCAACAAACTAAAGGCTACATTTAATATTAAAAGTGGCATTCTTTACTTAATTCCAGCTGATTCTATTACGCTCTAACGATTGTGAGTCACGTCTGGTTTTTGATAATAAACTTTTTTGAGTACTTTGTGTATTAGATATATTTTAACATAGCTACAATTTTATTGGGAGTTAATTTTTTTATTATACTCGTATTCTATTTCGTATATTCTGATATTTTGCAAAATATTCCGAGAATTACAATAATATTTATATGCCTACAAAATTCAATTTCCATTTGGCCAGACGCGAAAAAAAAATCATTAACGGTAAAGCTTCCATAATAATGACTTGGTAAATGGCAGATCAAATGTGGGCAATCACGACGCAACAGACAGGGTTAATTTGCTTTGGCAACAACCGCAATAAAGCAGAGTTAAAATAAGAAGCGTATAAAAGCAAATGGCAGCCGTCGCACATAATGGATATTAACATACGAATGTACATATATCCACATATGTACGCTACGCGCCAATATTTGTTGCTTTATTTGTTTGCATTTTTCTTCTTTCATTTTCACATTCCTCCGTGCATGGATGTACAGAATGGTACACGCGTATGCAAAAATAATAATAATAATAATATTGCATGCTGTTACAAGCTGTAACAACAACAACAATAAACAACAACCATAACAATTTTATTAATAACAAGAAAAGCAAAAAAAATTAACTGCAGTTAGCAAACTCTTTTCCTGCTTCGCAACATCATTGCATTGCTTTTATGTATGAAGGAAGGTATACGTGTGTGGCATATGAACGTGCGGTATGCATGTGCATTAGGGCGGTCCAAAATTGCATGTGAATAAAAGCAAAGTGCGAAGTTTAATGCGCTAGGCCATTTCCAGATTTCCAAATCAATCAGTATTCAGCGGTCGCTCAAAGCGTTAAACAATTTTCCATGTTTTTTATATTGGTAAAAAAAACAATATTTCGTAGAAATGGCATACGGTTCTTAAAAATCAATATTTTTCGATCGGAATACTCTGTTTCACTTCAGGGGACTGCCAATAATAATACCAGATTTTTTAAATTTTTTATTATTAATGTCTTTTTATTGTTCCCCATATTATTTTTCGTGGTTTTTGGGAGACCTATAAAAGGTGGTTACTATTCAAAAATGGTAAAACAAACAATTTAGTATTATTATTATTGCTAGTCTCCTGAAGAGAAACAAAATTTTCCGAACGAAAAATATTCGTTTTCAAGTATTCTATAACATTTCTACGAAAAGTTGTTTTTTCTCATTTAAATTACACATAAAATTTCAAGCGCATTGAGCGGCCTCTAAATAACTTTTGATTGCAAAATAAAATCAGTATAGAAAAATCCTAGCAGGTGGGAGAATTAAAATTCCAACTTAACTTATTTTGAACCACCCTAATGTGCATACATTTATTTGCATGGCGGTATATGCATACAGTTAGCTCTCAGCAGCTTTAGCATCAATGTTGTTCGCACACACACACACACACACACAAACCCATGCTCGCATAATAGTTGCTGCCGCATACAAATGCATCCTGTATTTCTCTGTCTGGCTATATAACGCTTGGCATTTCCGCCCGACAACCACACAGCCGCACACACAATAACCACAGCTATGGCTGCATGCCATTTTGCCATCCACATATCAACATTTGCTGACACCGCAAATGTTCTGGCATACGCATGACGTATGAGTGATATTTTTGCAGCAATGGCAAATGTATAAAAGTAGTTTTTTTTTGCATATTCGTGTAGTATCTCATAACTTTAAAACGCGTATACTAACTATATGTATATGCAAAATATATGTGTACATGCTATAAATATATATTAAATGAAAATGTGAACAATAGCAAATGGGTGACATAAAAAAAGTAACACAGTGGGGCACAGTGAAAAATTATGTGCTTGGGAGTTGTGAATATTTCTTAATAAATATCTGCACTGTGTTGCGCAAATTTGTGAACCAGTTACAAGTGTTTATTTACAAAGTTAGTTTTTGAGTATGCGTAGTTATGTAGAAATTCTTGTTGTGTCACTGCACTATGGAAAATTAAAAAAAAAAATTTTGGCAAAATTTAATTATGGCTAAACAATTAAATGACTGAAAACCCCATATTTTGTATTGATTGGCATAGAATTTCTCACATTTCTGCAAAAACAAACCTTTGACGAAAGAGAGATCTTAGGGGGTATTTTTTTAATTTATGGTATTGACCAGTATGCGAAATAATGCCAATTGACCATATTTCCGTTGTTCTTGTTAGATGCCACCTTGAAAGTTCCCACGCTTTTTGAAACAAATTCTGAGAAAGAAAAGCTTTTTGAGTTAGGGCGTTTTCGAACTGGCCGCCAATACAGGTCGATCTTCTACTCAGCCATCGATATACAAAATTTAATTCCCTGAGAATGAGCTGCTGGCTTACTAATACGTTTTGGCACAAGCTCTGACAACTTAAACTGACTTCTTCTCAGACCAACGTAGAAGATCTACAGATTAAGCATTAGATAAAAGTTTTTAGCCCAGTTAAGACGGCTAAGAAAATCGAGTGGTCATTTTTTTTTTGAGGTTTGACAGTTTTTGAAATAACTGAATAAATTTAGTAGGAGCAATTTTATTCGCAGATACACTTTGGGATTTAATAATAAAAAAGCTAAGCGAGCCTGATGTTTCGAGAGACTAAATATAGGTGTACTACCGATTTTCTTTTTATTTTGAAAACCCCACGATAATGAAAGCATAACAGTACTTAAATCAAAGTAAGGGCCTATTTTTCTACCTCATATAAGTCTCGTAACTTGAGCGCTAGTAGGTACATCCTTAAGGGCTGTTCTCAGCTACATATAAAAACAACGAAAAATTCATATAAAATGGCACACAGGAAATGTAAAAATATTTTCTTCAATCAAAATTTCTTGAATCTAAAGTTATTTCATTCAAATGAATGGGGCTACCAGAAAAAAACGAGAAATTTTCACTTACAATGTAGACTTTGTCGAATTTCAACATTGCCTTATTTATTGGGCCTAGTTAAAAAATGTACCCATACTGTCGAAAGTGAAAAACTGGATGTTAAAATAAGTATAAATTTTTTCGCATTTAATGTTAAGAATTTTGTATATTTGAACACTTTATATGCACTGTGCAGTTTGCTACTGATTCACACATTTACATACATATGTAGGTATTTATGTACACGGGGCGTTCCATATCAAAACGGACGGGGTTCACACTTCATGTGTATGATTTTTTTCAAATTTTTAGGGCTGATGCATAAATATAAATAATAAATAAATATGAAATTTGAGCTTGATTAATATATTTTTAAAAACTTTACAGCACAAAAACAAAGCGATTTAATAGTTTTCCAAATATCTCGAAAACGGGGCGTGGAAAAAATTTGAAGAAAATCACACATATGTACACACATTAAAATGCTCTATGAAAATAAATATTTTAAAATTGTTTTTTTTTTCTTGAAAAATTTTTCACATACATATTTTTTGATACAAAAAAATTAGTTTTTGAAAATATGCCATCTCAAAAAAAAAAAATTAAAAAAATCGCAATGATAGCTCTGAGTATTGCGCAATATTTAAATATAGTATTATGGGGTGCATTCTACAAAAATTTAAGTTATGAATTTGTTTTCACACCGAAGTTGAGTTAAATGGGTACGTCACAAATTTACAAATTTTTTAATTTTTTTTTAGAAATTCTTCGAGTAGCCAGTTTTGTTTAAATTTTAATATAACAAAGTGCAAGTTTTAAGCGATTGCGATGAAAATTTAAAAAGATTGTTTTACTCAACTTCGGTGTGAAAAAAATTCATAACCCAAATTATTGTAGAGTGCAAGCCATAATACTATCATTAAAAATTGCGCTATACTCAGAGCTACCATTGTGTTTTTTTTCAATTTTTTTGAGATGGCATATTTTCAAAATCTAGTTTTGTATCAAAAAATTTGTATGTGAAAAATTAAAAAAAAAAAATATTTCTTTTCATACAGAATTTGATGTATATATGTGTGATATTTTTCAAATTTTTTCCTTGGCCCGTTCACGAGATATTTGGAAAACTATTAAATCGATTTGTTTTTGTTTTTGTGCTGTAAAGTTTTTAAAAATGGATTAATCATGATCAAATTTCATATTTGTTTAGTATTTATGTTTATGCATCAACACTAAAAATTAGAAACAAATAAAACACGTGAAGTGTGAATCCCGTCCGTTTTGGCATGGAACGTCCCAAATACATACAATGTACACATTCAACGCAGTTTATGAACTAAATTAATGAAAAAATATCGTCTGGCCATTGTTTTAAGTTAACGGTATTTGCTTGGCTTTATTTTATAATATTAGACTTTGTTGCTCTGCATGCAAATGATGTTGCTGCAGTAAAGATGTACATTGTAGGCTTTTTGTGTTGTTGTACATATGTAGGTAAAGTAGATATCAACTCAATTTTATTTGATCAGTTAATACTCATAAGCTCATCCAGTATATTTTTCTCCGATGCTTAAGAGTATTAATAAATATTCAATATGCATATCTAATTAAAAAACATATATTTATATATGTATAAACTCTTTAAATTTTTTCTCAACCACGTAACATTTAAATTTTATTCGCTTGCTTAAACTCTTAAAGTTTAACTCCCGTTTTTGTTTACCACAATCATACCGTACATAAGTAACCTATTTAATAAATTTTTATGTATACCTTGAAAGTCCTGGTTGGGTTCCAATTAATCTGTTTTATATATTTTCAATAATTTTTTTTCGAAATTCAAAAAAGATTTGTGTTTTAAAATAACATGATAACAAATATATTTATGTTTACATAAACATTTTCAAAAAAAAAATAAATAAAAATGTAATATTTACTATTTAGAATAATAAGTGAATCAATTTATACTCCAAAAACTCAACTAGCGATTATTGAATCAAAAAATTAATTCGTGTTTACTATAAACGCACCTTCAAAATATTTATATATATATATATATATATATTTTTTAATACGAGTAAATACAAAGTGTCAGAACATGAATGTATGTATTAGACCACATAAAAAAAAAATCCTGCAATGCGACCGCGATCTGACTCAGATTTTAGTGCTTCGAATAGTAATGATTCTTCATGAATCTCTCCTATCACTAAGAGGTCGCGCATCGAGCGTTTATTTATCCCATAGGGATTACACGTAAGAAAATGAGTTATTCTCTTTTGAGGTTTGAAAATTTATCGTACAGAGGGGAGATTCGTAGAGGAGCATTACTATGCCAAATAATAAAGTTTGAGTCAGATTGCGGTCGCATTCCAGGATTTTTATTATTATTATTACTTTTGATATTTGAGTGAAAGCACGCACTGCTTTCCACTACACCACAGCGGCCGCCATAACTTTTGCATCCTTTTCGAAACCAATGACATTGTTATAGCTTATAGAGCTTTTTCAGTTACTCAGTCATATGCAACGTTTTCAGCAAGAAATTGTGCGGTGAGTAAGATTTATAAACCTTAATTATATGTCTTACAGACTACGGGTTTTCAGTAAAAATTAAGTCTCATATTTCGGAATGATTGATGATGTAGAAAAGTGGTTAAAAAGAAGAAAGTAACTTGAACGCTGTATTTTGTGTGCGGCTTGTACAGAATTAATCATTCAATTTCATTTTTGAATAACTTTTTTATTAAATAAAAAAATGATTTTGAGTGATGGAAATCTTTACTTGAACCATTAGAATTTTTTCTGTTAAGTGCAAAAGATGATATCCCTCAAATGGCTGCCGCCAGTTGTTTTTACATATTTGTGTCCGTTTTATCGAATTTTTTCATGACTTTCTGCAAGATTTCCAGTGATATCTGTGCGCTTTCCCGTCGAATATTTTTCTTCAGTGCTGCTATTATCCGAGGCTTATTGGCGTAAACCCGCGACTTCAAGTAGCCCCAAAGAAAGAAGGTATTAAGAAGAAGGGTGATTAATTTTGCGCCAACTTGTAGTTAAACAATACAATCAATTAGTTTTAAAATTGCATAATTTGATTGGACACAGTAAGAATAGTATCCTTGTGGGTATAGTAAAGTGTGAAACTTTGAAGCACTTGAAAAAACTGAAAAAATCATGAAATGGAGCCAAAGCCCGAACGTTGAACGAAGGAAAGTCCGTTGCGAGGTCAGCGCCTTATTGCCGCATTATTGAGCAACAATTACTTAAAAATCGTGTCACTAATAACGCCACAAGGTCCAGTGTAAGCAACGAATTTTCAATACAAAATCATTAAATAGGAGGCTTCTTTCTTTCGAGGTGGATGCGAGGCATCTCTTTGCTTAGGAGCGGCTGCTAACACCAAGCGCCTAAATGCATGCTATGTGCTGCTGCTTGCGCAAAAATTTCCTTCATTAAATTTATGAAATTTTTGCAATGCACTTCTCAACGGCGGTGTAATAAAGCTTTCTTCTTTCTTTTGATGACAATTCAAAGTGTACTCGGCATAGTCTGACGCATCCTTCGGACACTACTTCCGAAATTTTGTGTGGACTTTGCATGTCTTAAAATCATGCAGAGGGGGTAAAATATCTTTAACAGCCACTACTTTTTTGTCCAATAAATATTTCTTTTTATAAATAAATGTAAACATACTGGTCTCTCCTCTCACTGATTTATTCAGCTTACTATTTTAAGTGAAAAATAAACCTAGAATCCTTTTGCGTATATCATTTACGATATCTATGCTTAGAGTTATTTCCTCGAAGGTGACAGAGGAAATTTCCCAAGAAAACAATTAAAATTTACCGGCATTATCATATACAGCCCAATTCTGAATACTCCCGGGGAGTTTGTTCTCGGGGAATTTGAATCTCCCGAGAAAGAAATTCTTCGATAATTAACTCCCAGGGAATAGCATTTTCCCCGAACATTTGGGTGGAGGAAATTCGAACTTCGCAAAACCCCTTTTGACACTTTATTCACAGCTCAACTCCGCCATTTAATATGAAGGATCTTCAGGGAGTTCTTATTCATGATCGGAGGAAATGAAAAAGAGAGAAAACTCCCAGGCAGTTTCTATTCAGAATCGGCCTGCTTGATTTTTACTTCTAACCGTTTGTCAGCGTTGTAGCCATCGGTAAAGATTCTGTAATATCTTAGCTTGACTTGAGCAAGCATAGCGTTAGGATACACAACGTTGTAGAATTTCTATGGTTGAAAATCTACTTTACTTCCGAAGAAACCTAAATTGTGACTTTTTTTAGAAGTAATGGTAATTAAACCAATCAGCCTTTTCCGTATAATGAAGAGATGACCGTTAATTTTGGCAGGGTTTACAGAAGCGTATTGCCATCAAATAACTTTAAGAAGGCGAAACTCACTCTAGTAAAACAGATTATTGTTATTGTAATCACTTTGCCTCAATTCAAGCGCGCACTTCTATAAGAGGAAGGTCTACCAAATACCATTGGTTGGGTTCCATACTGTCGGAATTGCCAGATTTCATTAAAACTTCCTTATTTTTTAATGCTCCGCACTTATAGTTAGGTCTTTACTGTTACACAACTTTGAGGGCGAAAACTTAATTATTTTTATTTTTTATTCCTTTTGTTCGCACTTACTTTAATCATCAATAAATATTTACTTATCACCATTGTAAATGAATTAAAAAATCTGAAGATTTATTTTAAAATGAACAACTTCCTACTTTTGTCTTTCAATCAGTTCACACCATTAAGCCGCACAGATATTGCAGCAATACAAATTCTATTGTCAATCCCAAATCGCACTAAAAATAATAAGTTACGAATTTTTCGCCTCACCAGCAAACGAAACTATAAAAATACACAAAGAAAAAAAAAACAAATTACTGACCTTATTCGACTCTGCATAATTCAACGGTACTGCTCATTAAGCACAATAAAACAACAAATGCGATTACAATCCACAGCTGCACTGCTGACACTGTCGCTGACATTGCAATGAAAATGGAAATTTCTTTTCAATAAAAATGCAAATGACATGTCAATGAAAACACTTTTAAGGCAATCGACCCGAAAGTACAAAAACAACAACAAATGCGCTCCCCGCCCCCGCTTAGGGTTACGGTAAATTGCGAACTCAAAATGTGCTTCACTACCAATTTAATGGGCGGGGGCGCATACTAATCAAGCAACGCAAGCTACTCGCTGGTGGAGTACAAATAAGTAGTACCCTTCATTTCGATTGCAAAACCCACTCATTATCTAAGGAAATATTCGCCTTTATTCCACCAAATATTCGCCGACCGACCACCCACAATGTTGCGCTAAGCGCGTGAGTTGTAAATCGTTTGCGAAATTGAAACTGGAGGAAATCAAATCATATTAACTGAAAAGAAGATTATCGAAAATCACTTGAAGCGAAATCAATGACCGTGGAAAAAATAAATTAGCAACATTCAAAGTAGCTAAGCTACTGCAAAAAGGGGGGGGGGGAGAGCTGCGGCACAGCGGAGGTGTACGTACAGAAATTTATTTACTTGTCTCACTGGCACGCTGAGTTAGCAATTCCCCTTTCAGCTGCGCCACTTGCTCTTACATTTTAGGGTGAATGCTTACGAATTTCAAATTCCTCAAAGCAATAAAAAGTCGAGAGGAAACAAATTTGCTACTGACAAAAAAGGTAAAAAAATACAAAGAAAATAAAATAAAAATTGAATAAAACTTGTCAACTTGAATGGAGTGTGAAGCGTTGGATGCACAAAAAAACGTTAAGAGATTTTTTGTTGCAAAACATTTTCGGCAACGCGTAAAAAGACACGTTTTTTCTGCTTCAACACTTTTCTGCGGGGGAAAAACCCGTAGAATGAGTTTAAAATAATGTTTTAGATTTTTTTCCTTAGCAGAATCCTTGGCTATTTCAGATTTGAAATGCCTTTCTGTAGATTTAAACTTTTTTTTATTTGATACATCTCGCTACTCTTTAAATCGCGCTCTGTCACTCACTCATACATTGTTTGTCGTAAATATTTCATTCGCCTCTTGCCGACCCTTTTCGTCCAGTCGCTTTGTCTGTTGGCTATCTGTCGCATGGCCTAAGAGATTCCAGTAATTTCATTTTAAATGTATGTAAATATTGTGTATGCACATACAGACTTATTAGCAATTCGACAATTTCCTTTTTGTATTAGAAACACTGCTGGATTCTTCCACACGGTGCACAAAGGCAAGAAATTAGTGCAGACGTTGGAAAATTAGGGAGAATTAAAACGTTATAAGAAAGGAAAGAAAAAATAAATAGAAAAAAAAACGAAGTTCAAAATCTTACTAGAAAAATCATCAAACATGAACACAAAGGCTGTGCTGGGGATGTGAGAAGTTTGCTAATAGAGGTTGCCCGAAATCGCTCAGATAGCTGAAAGAATCAGAACACCTTCAAGCATTAGTATTTGTAGTCTAGTTACGTGGGCAGTTTGATACACCTTTGACTTATCGTAGAAGAAATATTTTACAGCAGGCTTCTTATCTCTTTCATATAAAAGGTTTCTTCAGGGTCATCAAACCATATTTTTCAGGGACTACCTCTTCAACCGATTCAATTATTTCATAGCCGTTCCTCACAAGACCGCTGGCGGCAATCGTTATGCTGCATTTCTAAGCTCAGTTCATCGGCAAATTTTTGGGGTAACTGATCACGAAAACGGCATCAAGATGACTCCATCCCGTTTAGATCAAGGTAAGAAGAAGGCCAAACACCTTAGTAAGTATACTAAACTTTTTTTAACACCGGTTTCTGAAAATATGAAAATTTGCGTCCAGTTTTGAGTTCTAGATTACCTCTAAACAGCCATTCTAAGTCACTTTGACTGAAGTTGAAACCATATCTAAACGCGAAATGCAAGCTGGGATCAAAATAATATCATTCCTTCTAGACTTGATTATAGAACGCCTTTGCGAATGCCGGGAATTGCGATTAGCGATCTACTTTATCGGGGATATATACATTAATGATTAGCTCTTTGCAGCCGTTATTGCTTATAAGCTAAAATTAACTATTTTTTTTTTATAATTATGAAAGTAATAAACTGCAAAAATAGACCAAACTTGTTTAACCGCTGAATATTTTTTATCTTCCATTTAGTGAAAAAGAAATTAAGATTGTAAACTGCAAAATTACAAAGAACATTACCTCGCTTATACATATAAATATCTACAATAAACTGCTGTAACAGCACTAAAAATTTCGCCATTAGGTCGGAAGCCAAATTATGCCAAAAAAGAAGAAGAAGAAAAAATAAACGGAAGTATTGCATACCATATATTTTTCGCATTTTCTCTTTCTTCTTGGTCGCCAAAATGGGCAACAGTTGCAGTTGCGGCCATTTATTGGCCACAGTCGGTTGGCAAGAGGGCGTTAGTTAGCACAAATGAGTGCATTGACCCGCTGCGTTGTGGTCAAAGCCATGGCGTGTAATTAATGTAGCAAATGCGCATTTTTTTGGCAATTTTTTTTTTAGAAGAACACTCACTATGCTGGTTGAATAAAAAACAAAACAGAAAAAAACGCACACATTTTTACATTATGCACATAAAATAGTAAAAATGTGGAGGGTGAAACTAAGTCAAAACAGGGGATAGTTAAATATTTGCAGATAATTGAGGTAAAGAAAGCCATTTTTAAGTAAGTGATTTTTAAGTTTTATGTTGTTGGGAGAACTCATCTCTGCATCTCTAACGAAGAAGGTTTTAAATTTTGCAGAATAACAGCATGCGGCGGCACGGTTACATATTAAGCGACTTCAAAATAAAAAAAAAATTATTGGACCAGCCGATACATACACATGTAGATTAGGGTGGAGTAATTTAATTTCGAAGAAAGTGTATGGCATAGTCGAATTCTACGTTCGATTCTATGCAAAAATGGTGAACAAACTATATATCAAAAAAGACGTTTGACCCTCCTAATTTTTAAAAGAAAAACCAGTGTATTACAATTTTTTCTGAACGAAATTAATTTTTCATTTACAAAATTTTGTGTTTTTTTCATAGTTAAGAAATACTTCACAAAACCGGGAAAATTAAAACTTGTACACAATTTTTTGGTACAATGGAAAATAAATTTCGCCCAAAAAATAGATATATGCACTTCTTTTTCTCTTGAAAACGTCATATTTGATATCTAGTTTATTCGTCACTTTTGCTTAGAATTAATCATAGAACTTGAATTTGCTATACACTTTCTTCGAAAATTTTGCACGGTACAAACTGCTCCGTTCTAATGTTTATATATCGTCACCTAAACGTAAAAAAGGTGTCAAGTCCTTTTTTTTTTAATGTTCAGGAGAGACGAGAAATCGATGTCTTTTCGCATTATCTTGCATTCTGCATCAATAACTAAATTTTGAAAAAAGAGGACTTGGCACCCTTTCAGCTTTAAGTTGCATTATGGGTTTTGTTAAAGAATGGATAATTTTTTTATAGAAAAAAAAAATAAATCGTAAATTTTCCCGAGTGTTCTCAAGGATATATTTCTTGAATTGAAATTGAGTTGTATCACCTTTGAAGATGGTGTGAAATATTTCAACCACAACATAGCGAAAGTTGGGCAGCCTAGTAGGAAATGTAGGAGGCATGAACTCATTTCTCTGTCGACCATGCGGTTCTTCACTTTGTTAATATGGTCTGCTACTACCACAAGTCTAATTAGGAAATATGCCGACTAAAGTACAATGAAGATCAGACACTCCCAGACAAGTTTCAAGTATACCATCAGTGAGTTTAGCGTGCTAATCACCTTCTCGCCAGCACAGTAAATGTCTCTGTCGACACACACTACTGCAGTGATTCTATGCATCTCTTATGGCAGTATCTTCTGCTTGAAAATCATTCCAGCAGTTTAAAAGTCGAAACTAGATATTGGTGCAATGGTCCAGACTAAAACCTTCGCCCTAAACCTTGCGTAAAATTTCGACACACATGACAAATCAGGCATCGTAACAGTTACAACTTTTATTAAAAAAATCACTCTTTAACAATTATTTTTTGACTTTTTTTAATTACTCCTTAAATAACAGTTTTTCTGAGTTTTCTTTTATAAATCCAAAATAAGAATTATTTTTGAGTTTTATCTAAAAAATCTGTAAATAACAGTTATTTTTGATTTTTAAATT